AACTACTCAATCTTGGAAACAATAGGCGGTTCTTTATCAAATCGGCTTGCTCAACTCCTCTTCCTAACTCGGTTTTATGGATAAATCATCAACATCAATAGCATCATCAAGTGTGCTGATTATGAGTTATAGGAAAGTTACCAACTTTGAGTTATTAGGTACTGGCCCAAATTGTATGACTTGACTATTAGCATTATCTTCGTTTGCCCCTAAACTGTTCACTCTCATGCCATACTCCTCTTCTATTTCTCGTCCTCAAAGTTTCAAATTTTAGCATGGTCTAAATTATTTGATGAAACTCATATCAATCATCAATATCATACCCATTAACCTTGTTGAACATACAAAATTACTTGGCATGAATAAAGGCTTTGGGTCTTGATAGGCTTCAAGTTAAAGCCATTGGCACTTATCATATCATACAACCAAGACATGGAGATTTTTAAGACTCGTCTCCTTTTTACTCCTCCATTAGTAGCATGATTAGACGAGGGATTAAAATTTATGTTTGGAGGGTTTGAAGAATCTTTAAATTCAATCAAACCTTTTTTAATCAAATTCTACACCATTTTCTTGAAGCCCATACAATTTTCAATATTATGACTATTGATGCCACTATGATATTTACACATATTGTTTGGCTTGTACTAATTTGGAAATGATGATTGAAGTGGAGTTGGTGTTACAAAAGCCATTTAGTTTATGGTTACAAGGTGCTTGAAGAGATCACTAAGAGATATGAGAAGTGGTAACAATATATCGTTGAATTGTCTCCTCTTGGTATTTCTCAAAATTTTTTGATAGGATTGTCTTGGATGGCTACTAAATTTTTATGAGTTTTGACAATGAATTTAGGGTAGACGTTAGGGTAAGGTAAGGTAAGGTAGGTGTTTGAGTGGTTTGGTTGGGATTGTTTAGTATTGGTAAGGGTTGTATGGCATTTGATATTGTGAAAAGGTTAGAGTTTGAGGTCATCGGTCGACTACATTGGTTGGAAAGGTATTTATAAGAATAGTGAATTATGTAGTTGGGTTGACCATATTATTTGAGAGATAAATTGGTTGTCATTCCTTTATGAGTTGATCCATTTCCCTCTAACAAAGAAAAAAGATCCCCCAATTTGTTACAATTTTAAGTCTCTCCACTTATGAAGTCACTTTTTTATGTTCGGATTCGAAGGATCGAATATCCTCATTGACTTGATGGCTTGCTCAATCCAATTAGCAATAGACACTATCTCAATAAAGTTATTTGATCTATTACTTAGAAGATAGTTGTAATACTGGGGCCTTAAAGATGTTGATAAAAGGAGTAACCAATTATTTTTTAGGAAAAGACGAGTGAATTAAAGAAGCTATTTATGCCATTTTTAAGTATATTATTTTATAAACTCCCTCGAGCCCCGTTTCATAGACTATAGGCTCGATTAGTTAGATAATATTGCCTTATGAATATATCTACCAAATCCTTCCACTTTTTGATCTTGGTCCGGTCCGGATCAATAAACCGACTTCGAGTAGACCCATCGAGAATCTTAGGAAAGAAGTGGATCGGTAGCTTTTCATCATATACTTGTCTCACTCATCTTGCTTAAATAGATCCTTAAGTAGGTCCTAAGACATTCACTCCCGGACTACTAGATAAGTTCGAGCACCTTGAACTTCTTAAAAATCATCACGTTTAACATTAGACACTTATCCGCACCGAGAAATGGGTCATACACATCTATGCCTTGAAGTCTCAAGCATTCCTCAATGGTCGTAAGCATTTCGGTTTCAAGTTTAAGGCTATCTTTTCTAAGGCTAACTCTTCGGTGGAAAAATCGGTAGTTGTTGTCGTTAGTACTTGGATAGTCCGAGGTAATAGAATAGCAAGGTCCGAAGATCTAGGAGCAAACTCATACATGCCTCCTAGCATAAGATGGTTGACATGATTAGTGGTACCAACGAGCTCCAAATACGGCATATCAAAAAATGGTACATGAGCGAAAGTTTGAGTGATCGACGGTGGCATGATAGTGAATACTTTTGAAAAAATAGATGACTGATCGACTTCTCTTTGGATGACAATCTTAAAGACATTCGATTTTGTAAACTTTTTCCAACATAGTAGTGAGCCTAGTAACCTTCCCTTTTAACACGTCTATCTCTTTCTAGTGATTTTGCTCAAGTCGAGCCCTTTCTTTGTTCTCTATGTTTTCTCTTTCCCTAGTGTCATAAATGCATGGGGAAAGTACATTTTTGGCAAGTCGAATATGTTTCTTTACGAAAAAAATAAACATAAGGTATAAACAATATATTAAAAATAAAATGACATTCGAAACCGAATATGGAATAGCCTTCATATGGAGGTGATGAAAAGATTTCATTGTTGGTTCTTTGATGGTTTGAGATTATCTTAAATTGATTTAAAGGTGAACTCTAGTTTTACAAGTAACCACGAGATTTTTATCAAAAATCTTACTTTATGACCAATCAGTTTAAAGATGAGATTATGCTTCATTAGTAACCTTTAAAAAAATCTATCCCGGGAGAAAAATGATCTCATCTTAAATGTTTTTGAATATAAGAAAATCATTTCCTTCATTGATATGGGCAATTCGTAAAAAATCATCTCTGGTCAAAAGATTAGAGTAACCAACAAGCTTATTGGGCGTATTATTTTTTTGGCATTCAAGCAAAGATTAATAGGTTCGAGTGGCATAGATGTCATTTGATTCTAACACTCTAAATGCTTTACACGATCATTGATGATTCTTTGAATGTGCATCACATCCTAGAGGTTACTTTGAAACTCCTTTGTTAGACAATTTCCTTCATTCAATTGATAGGCCTCGGACTTCTTTTGATATTTGAAAGTCATGTTGGTCCTTTTATTACTAATCTCGAAATACCGACTAAATTTTTTTAGTCAAGGTTTCATTTGAATTTGACTTACCTATGACATTTATTGGATAGGATCCTAGTGGTCTAGTTGTAACTCATTATGTGAATGGGATAGGATCTATATAAGTCTCAAATAGGGTCCCTTCAAGCCTAATAAATCATAATAGAATTATTAGGGTTGCTAAAGGCAATGATTGGTAAGCATGAAAAATCATTAGTTACCTATCGTACGATAGTAACTAGTAAGAAGAGTTGAGATTTCATGAATATTTACTCGAGATGAAACCTATCGAGTCACCACTACTACCTTCATAAGTCCTAAGGCAAGTGTGTGAAAAAAAAAACAAAAAAAATGATGGTTATAATTTGTGCATGAGCATTATTCCATATTCGATCTCAAAATAAAAATAAAATAAAAGGTAGAAACAAAAATAAAAGGCAAACAATGGCAAAAGGCACAAATTTAAAAATAGGTGAATTATGTTAATTGGAATATAAGCATAAAAATTCATAACATATCATAGATCAAATTCAAAAATTTAAGCAAAGCTTAACCCTAAGTATATGTCCCTAATAGAGTCGTCATTCTATCGTAGAATGACGTCAAGGAAAAAGTGATAATTTTGGGAAATGGTAAATGGGAAAAAATAATGGAGTGGCCACCTAGTATTATGATTACTAGAAAACAATATGACTAGTACTGTTTAGAATTCTAGGTAAGGGATTTATTACCTATAAGAAAGATTAAAAATCACTTTATCTCGTCCCGCTCTAAGGCAAGTTACACTCGCATACAAAGCTGATTTGATTTCGATTTTTTCAATGATGAAAATCTATGCCTATTTCAAAATTTTTACTAGTTGGATGAGTGATTCGAGACTTAATCGGTCGAAGGTCTTATCCTCACTATAAGACATAATGAATCTAAATCTATGATAATTATAAAAAATATTGAAATACGTAAATAGGCGAATGAGAAAAATTATTAAAATTAGCGAAAATGATCCAAAAACAAGATTCAAACCGACATAACTTCAAATTTAGAATTTTAGGCATATTGGTAAAGTCACCAAATTTGGCAAAAATAAAAAATAAAAAAAATATGAAGACAAGGTTTAGATCGACTCGACTTCAAATATTGTAATTTTCAAATGCATAGCAAACAATTTAGCAAATAAAATTGGCATATTAGGCAATGTTGGCATGAATGGTCCCAACCAAAGTGTAGACTAACATGACCTTAAAGTCATGATTTTTTCAAGATGATGTTTCAAGAAAAATTGTAAAAAATGGTCCAAATAGAAGTTCGAACCACCGTAACTCAAACGTTATATTTTTAGATAAATTAGTGATAGTGTGCCAAAAATGGTCCAAAAACAAAGTTCGAACCAACACAACTTAAGAATCGCATTTTTTAGGTGAAATGGAAACAATATCAAAATTAATCATTACTACCAACAAAAGTAGCCCAAAAATAAGGTTCGGACTAATGCGACTCGAGAATCACAATTTGAGACAAATTGGCGCATGGGTGATTTAATGTTACCATTAGCAAAAATGGTCCGAAAACGAGATTCGGACCAACACAATTCAATCACAAAGGCAACAAAAAAGATAATTATAGAATAATCGAGTCCTCTATTCTACCTCGATATTATCTAAGGTTTTTAACCCTTTTTGTAGGCTCGATATACTACGATATATCTTAAACACATCAATCAAATAATTACACAACCACAGTAATAGTTTAATTAATTTATAGTCATACCAATGCAAATTAAATTTAAGGATTAAAATAGGCCGAAGGAAATTTTTTTTATTATCAAAATAGGATTAGTTTTGACCTATTCAACCTTAATAGAGACTGATTATTTAGTCAACTAGGGAGGAGGGACATCTACCTATTGCTAGATCTAGACTTAATGTGAGGCAAGTTAACTGTTGGTGACTAGATCGAAGCTTGGACGGCTAGCAGTGGCTGTCGTGCAATGCTACGAGATTTGCTGGGGGAAGTCATCGTTGTTGGATCTAACGGATGAAACGATGCTACTAGTCTGAATCATCTTGATCGGATGGTGCTACTGCTAGAGTCAATCACTGACGAGTTATAGATAAATGATTAGATTGAATGGTCCTATCGCTAAATCAGAGGTGGTTGTTGTTGCATGGACATCAGCTGCTACTAACACGATCGATGGTGACAAGATGAGGCTAAATATCGACTGCTACTAGCACAATCGGTTGTGGCTGGACGAAGGGCTGCTATGGTGGCTAGTTGAACAACGAGAGGTGGCAGCTAGTTAGAATTTCAAAAGGAGAGTCCGTGGCTGGCCGAATTTTCTAGGGAGAGAGTGGCTAGTGAGGGGTGAGAAAGAGATCGTTTTCATACTAATTTTTTACGAGTTTTTTTGGGCTAAAGTTCAATTTGGTCTCTTATCTTGTGGACCTATTTTATTTCGATCCTTCTCCTCCAACCTGTTTCAATTGCATCCCCCAATTATTTTCTCATTTATGTATTTTTTTTCTCTTTTGTTATGAAACATATAGAAAAATAAATGGGCATTTTTTGGGTGCTAAAATATGTTATATGTAACAGTCAACCCAATTTTTGGGTGCTAAAGTTTTGGTATTCTCATCGTTAATTATGTTTTTTTAAAAAAAATTTAAAAATATTTTTTGACCCTCCTAATCTTGAACTTTCTTAAAAAAAAAATTATATAAAGTATTATAAACATTTTATGAATTATATATAAAAAAATATTTTTAACCTCCCAATTTTGAATTTTTTAAGTTTTTAAAAAATATTATAAATATTTTATAAAAAAAATAATTAACAATGCACAATTTCAAGCCTTTTAAAAAAATCTTATAAATTAAAATGAACATAATTAAGAGTTGACACCTAATTTTATAAATTTTAAATTTTAAAAAATTAAAATTAGGGGAGTTAAAAATATTTCTAAAATGTTTATAATATTTTATAAGAAAAAAAGTTTTTTTTAAAAAAAATTCAAGATTAGAGAGGTTAAAAATATTTTTTTAAAAAAATATATAATTAACGATAGAATGCCAAAACTTTGTCATGTTGGCATTTTAAGTAACAATTGACCGTTACACGTAACGACAATTAAAAAAATTGAATCACTTGCCTAAAAACCAATAAGTTATGGTTGAAATTACGCGATTTGTTACTATATGAAAATCACAAATTGCCAAATTGTAATAGAACAGGGACAAAAAATGCCTTTAAACCAATTTTTTCCTATCCTAGTAAGTCTATTTAATTGTGACTTTTGTTGTATTTGTATTAAGAGAATTTGAGTTTAACAAAAGTATTATTTAGAACTGAGAGTGTGAATTCTCTCTTATTTTCTAACAGTATCTATAGTGAAGCATATGTCATGTACATGCTTAGGTGTGTCTACGTATTTTTCTAGTTTAATTATTTGTTATGTGGTTTCATATAAATTTGAAGATGCTACCATCGCATGCTATACCCATTCTATCCATCATTCATACAATGCTTGGAACTCCGAATCAACTCGGTGTCTGTGTGTCTCCAATTAATTGAAGTGCGGTGGTTGTTGGCGGTAGCAACAAACACAGTACACATGGCATACATACTTGACCAAACTATGCTAGTTTTTGTCGGCACAGACCATGCGTATAAACAACCAGTCCAAGTCCACTACCAGATCAATCTAATAGTGGCAGCACTTACTCTGCCCTTAACTCCTTTTGCTTTCTCCTTGTGCCCTTTTTGTACTGATCTGGTGCTAATTTCATGCTTTTGTTAGGGCATAGTTCAATGAGGAAGCCTTGCTATGACATGAAAGACACAAACAAGGGAGCATGGTCCCAACAAGAAGACCAGAAGCTCATGGATTACATACAGAAACACGGTGAAGGCTGCTGGCCCTCGCTTCCTCAGGCTGCTGGTGTGTTTTGCCCTCTATGTATTATTAGAAATTTTTAACTATTAAACAAAAGCTCGTGGATGTCAAGAGAGGAGAATTTAAAATAAAATAAAAAAAAATCTAGGGAAAGAATACTATAACTAATTAATAGACTCTTCGTTTTGGCTTATTTTCTTCATTATTCATCAGGGTTGCTTCGTAGTGGAAAAAGTTGTCGGATGAGATGGATAAATTATCTGAGGCCAGACCTGAAAAGAGGTGATTTTGGAGAAGATGAAGAGGATTTAATTATCAGGCTTCATACACTCCTTGGCAACCGGTAATGGTCGAGTCATTTGCTCTTTATTTCGCTATATTTATTTTTGCAGCCGATCATCTGGATCGCATGCATCCAAGTGATTGCTTTGTGCAAGTTCCACAAAAATATGTAAACGCTTAGGGAGAACTAATTGGCGTGCACTTCCGTGCATGCCTAGCTATGTTAACAAGCCTCGATGATCCATTATCTATTTTTTTTTGTTGGGGCGTGTGTTAAAACTAGATGGTATGCCCCCGCAGTTCTCCTTATATTTCTATAATTTTCTCAATTGAATTTTCAAGTTAGGCAGTGGTGAATCAATCACTATCTTGCACTATAATCAATTATCTATTTTTAAATATTTTTCTTGATATCCTTTTTTTTATTATTCAATCTAAAAAATATCATTTTTGTTTATCTAATATTATTTTGTTATCCAAAAAAATATATATATATTTCATTTATTTTTTAAAAGAGCATGAATTTAATAAATTCCATACATGGATCTAATTAACTGATCAATAATGAATTTGTTTCTCTTCTTTTTTCTTATGTAGTTGAATTCTATGATTTTTATTTTATTTATTTGCAAAGAAGAGGTTGGATCTCGAAACCTCTTAAAAAGAGGAAAAAATACTAATGCCAATTGATTTTTCTAAATTTATCCGGTATATGAGAGGTAATATTAGATTCTAACTCTCTGTCCATTTGGCATCAAAGTTGGGATGTAGGTAACTTATAAACAAAAGTTAATTAACTCTTTTTTTGTCAAAAGAATTGTGTTATTTCTGCTTTACAGTTTGTTAATCCCTCTTCATAATCTACTTTATTAGATAAATAAACCAAAATACTTCTAATCAGATTTTTCACGAATAATGATAACTAAAATTTTCACAAATATGGTGATATTAAATGTTAATATTGCACTTATATATTGAAAATAAAGCTAAAATGAAAAGGTATTCCTTCTTGTAAGGATATTCAAAATTGGACTTTCTTTTATCATCGGTTATTATTAGAGAATAATATAAATCATATCTCAAGGTCTGATTTAATATTTTAATATTTTGGGTTAAAATAGTCTTTTGACATAATATCAAAATCTTGATAATCAAATGGTTGGTAGTTCGAATTTCACAATACCTATTTTTTTTCTTAATTATATCCGTGTTAATCCCAAAAGGGTGTTCACACACCTATCAACAAATTTAATTCTATAGGAAAATATTTTTGGTCATACTACATATATTTTAATTTCTTCTTCAATATTTTTTTTCCAATAGTTTTTTACAGATAAATCATTTATTTCAAAAAAAAAAAAAGATACTAAATTAATTTAAATTTTGAAAATCTCAATTTTTATATACTTTTTTATTTGAATTGATTTTGATTATAATATTTAAAACGTACTATTTCAACAAAGTTTCATTCCATCAAAATAAGATACTCTAGACTGTAGGTATATTAAAATGTATTCTATTAATAAAACTTGAAATAAATGAGTGGGATTAACAATATTTGAAGTGAAAATAACACGTCCTTTCAAAATTTAGGTGAATTGTAGTTGAAATGCACAAATTTGCTTCTTATCATGATTAATGGACTGATAGAGCTTATTTTCAACTAATTACATAGAAGAACAGTTAGTTTAATTTTTTCCATACATTATTCCTTTTAAACTAATTGATTGCGTGGATCAAGTGTTGTGAGAGGGCAAAATAATGTTAACAAAAATATATGGTTGATTTAGGTGGTCCTTGATAGCTGGAAGATTACCCGGACGGACAGACAATGAGGTGAAGAACTATTGGAATTCTCATATAAGGAAGAAGCTCACTAAATCGAGTGCCAGAATATCAGCTGTTAGGGCAAAGAACCAGGCTCATAATCCGGAGACCTCCCATGATGTTAATAATCAGGTCTGTCACTTCAATGGTGGTCAGCCTGAGCCCAGCAACAAGAGTTCGTCCGACGTTAATCTTGATCTGACTCTAAGCATTCCTTCGAAACACTTTGACTCAAGCAACGAAAATTAAGGCTGCAATATCGTATACCCAATGCCTCTAATTTTAGTATATTGTGTGTTTGGGATACTTATTAGTCTCTAATCAAGCATATGTATATGTCCATGTGCTACTATGATAAAGAATTACGTGTGGTATTAGTTTTCTTTGCAAGCCATATTGCAGGATATGCAATCCAACTCAGCAATATATTCTTGCCAAAGAAATTGTAACTATGCATACTTATAGTTAGGTTAGATTCCCTGTATCAGAGGAAAGATATGTCCTCTTTGAAAAGGTTTCTTCCAATACTCACTACTTATATTTGTGTTTTTAGGATTGTAATCCTAGTGACAGCTGCTTGATAAGGCTTTAATAAAATAATGGAGTTTTTTGTAATATATATATATATATGGTGAGATTTTCTCGGATCAACTTTCGCATCTACTAAGACTGTGTCAACTATTTATTTGGTTAATATAACATCAGAACATGTTTAGTTTTTAATCAATCATTGAACTTTCTTTTAAACTAAATAAACTCAAATCTAATACCACTAAGAAAAAATTATAACTAGCTATTCATGAATAATAAGAATTGAACTTTGGTTTTGGTCAAATCAAAACAATTTTTTTACCACTAGAACACATCTTTTGGTAATAAAAGAGAGAAAGAGAGAGATGGAGTTTGAGATCATAACTTTTCTTTATACCATTTATTTTCATGTTGAATGGTCATTACTAGAATTGCAATGAGCATCACTGTATATCTTTTTGTGTCTATAATATAGCTCCAAGAATTTTTAGATTCTATTTAAAATGTAACTTCCAAGAAAACACAATCATGTTTCCTACAAACTATAGAAGAAATTACACCAAACTGAAAAGTACTGCTTTCGCTACTTAGTAGAATTGAAGGAGAAACTTAGAAGTAATTTTGCTATCATCTGCGTTTTTTTTCTTTCAAATTTCTAGAAATAGAAATAGAAAACTTCCTTGTTTTAGAATTTTGATTAGAAAAAAAATCAAAACCAACAACTATTATTACAATACTGAAAACGAATTTGTTTGGCTTTGAAAATTTTTACTTGTCTGATTTCTACATTTTTTAAGACATGAAACAAAAACATACAAGTTTTCTAGTTTTCAAAAATTTAGAAACAAAAACGGAAATGATGTCAAACAATCCTAATTTTCAAGTGTTTGCACTCGTTTAACTTAATTAGTGATGGTCATTTTTTGAGATTTTATCTAAAAATTTTAAATTTTAAGATTTATTAATGATTTTTTTAACATAGTAGTAATTATAACTTTATTGATCAAGATCAACAATTCAACTCTAACACTCTTTTCTTTTTAATTTAGTAATCAAAATTAAATTTTAACAAGAATAATGATGGATATGTTTCCCCAACTCAAATAAATTATATATACTTAAGAATCTCTTTCATTAAGTAATTAAACATTTAAATCACACCCAAAACCCATTCTCTTGCTAATATCCAAATTCAGCTTAATTTGTAGTTCCACCATACTTGGATTATAGACATCAAGTTTTCCTGAGTTAATCATAAAATAAAAAAATAAATAAATAAATTCCCCCAGACAGTTTAAGGCGGGTCGCATAGGAATTTGTCAAATTTTTTTTTTTTTAAATACAAAAGCTTGAATTTTTCTAGGCTTCGTACGTTGTTGAATGAAAATACAGAGGAAGAAGCATGTCATGTAACCTAACATTCAAAGGGAAGTCATGTGGTGCAAAATGAAGCAGTACAGTACCATAAACGTCAGTTTTTTGCAGTTGGAAGAAGTTAGTACCACGTAAATGCACGTGCTTCGAACTAACAACTGCTTTTTATATTTAATTTGAGCACTGTCGACATTGTTCTACATAAGCATATTTGTCAAAAAGCTTACCCATCACCCCCCACCCCACCCCCCGAGTACAACAACTGAAACTTCTTTCATTTAATAAGTAAAGATCTCTTACATTTAAGCTAATAAGAAATGGAACAACCTTACCTAAAAACATATGCATCACTAATCGTTGTTGGGAAAGTTAAGAAATCGGAAATTCAACACACCAACACTAAACAATCCAATTCAATAAAAATAAATGTAACAGATATGAATAAAGATGGGGAAAAAAAATAGACATAAAATTTAACATAATTTGGCAAAATTCTACCTACTCTATAAATTCGAAAGTAATGCTTTACTATAGAGAAACTTATTGCAAGAATATAATTGTGATTTTTATTGCCTAAAACTCAATCTCAAAATCTCTTATACACTCACTCTCACGCTAAAAAAGAAAATCTATTAATCCCTGTGTTTTGCATACACTAAAACCATACATTTAATCACCTATTTATAAGGGCTGAAATCCTTGGTGAACAAGGAACTTTTTGTGGACAAAGAATCCTTAGTCAATACTTCATCCAATTTACTTGGTAATTAATCCAAGGAATATGAGTCATAAGTCCAACAATCTCTATCTTGACGAATATTCTTGTCATGTTGAAGTTTGTTAGCTGCATTTACTCGCAAATATCACAAACGAAAAAGTATAAATAACCGAGTAGCTTTAAAATTTACTAGCTACACATGATCCGAATCGGTAAATAATCCCGAACTCCACCTTATTTAAAAACTACGGCTAACGCCCTTGTGCAACTATCTCGTCTTGAGTCAATTTTATTTGTTAACTCCAAAAAGAGTCCTCTATCCATCCTCTCTATCAAAAAAAGTTTCCCTTCACACTCGTCTCAAACTTGAGAATGCATAATTATTGTCTTTTTTTCAATCACCAAAGATAATTTTTTTAGATAGCTACCATCATATGCATTTCATTTTCAGCCACTCCTTGATAGCATTGTCTTTCTAATCGGATGATATAAACCATCATATTTTTCTTTTTTCATCAAGATTGTGTCATCATATGTGACTTTGGACTCTATTTGTAACATAATAACTTTATTCTTTGGAGTCTAACTAACTCAATGATATTAGATTCCTATATATCAACATAAGCCACACCACTCAAACTACGAAACACTTTATTAAATATTTTGATTTTTACTATTTTAAGACCAGGTAACATCATAAGACAACATATCACCAAAAGAAACGAGTGTATGTAACCCCCGTGAAACTCCTTAACCACGTAGCTATATATACCGATATATTATATCCGTATATATGAAGTATTAGGTGTGATTTACATGTCATTTTAATAGTTGGAGATGGTAACATGCTTCGTGTTTATGTGAGGAGTTATGGAAATAATAATAATAATAATTTAGGCACATCAAAATTTTAATTCTCGGAAAGAATATCTCACGGGATATCCATAATTATATGGGTGTAATTTATGTGTCATTTCTTTTATATTTTGTGGTGTTAAAATATCTAAGGTTTATGAAAGTGTTTTTAGGAATAACTTTTTGAGAATTTAACTAGTCATTATTTATTTTCCCATAACATATATTTAAAAGACCATGGAAGTGAAAGAATTTTCCAAACATGGTGCATGGGCCGAAATTTTAGGAACCAAATGAAGTTAGGAAGTTGATTGGTTTAATTAGTTTAGTTACCTTTTAGTTTTCATCTTTAGTTATTGATTTGACACCAAATATACCACCTTTTTTCTAAATTGTGACACCTAGCCCACTTTGATTTTTAAATTGTCAACTTGCCTTCCACTTAGTCTCCATCATTTCACCTCTTTTTACAACAAAATTCTGACACTTGGAATACTAATAAATGAAGGAAAAAAAGTGTGATATAAAAATGTAAGAAAGATTGAAACTTTTCCATTTTTGGAGACAAAACCGTAGCTACCAAAAGAGAAGGAAAGAAACGGCTTTAAGAGGGAGAGAGACAAAAAAAGAGAAGAAAAGAAAGAAAGGAGAAAAGAAAAAGGGAAAGCCTAAATAATCTTTAGGAAAGCTAAAGCAATGTAAGTAGGTTTATGTTATTTTATGTTATGCTTTAAATTTCTTGTATATGTGCTTAAATGGGAAGGTTAGTGAAGACTTCCCATTATATTGTTTATGTTCGTTTATGTTCATTATGGTTGTAATGTTTGTTAGATGGCATGATGGGGAACTTTATGTTAGATTGTACAAGTATGATGATGGATGGTTGGCATGTTGATGTATCCATGTGAGATATATGTGTGATAGATGTTTATACATATGTGGATGGGTTTGGTTTGGTTACAACAACATGGGCTTGGAAAATCATGTGTGGATGGGCTTGGATTAAAACAAAATGGGCTTGTACATCTTTAAGAAAACCCATTTGGCTTTGGTACTAAAAAGGCCAAGTTTGAATTTATTTTTATGGATCTAAAGATATAGAACTCCATGGTAACTCATTGAAGTATAACTTAGTGATTTAGGATGAAAAGAAATTACATAAAAATAAAAGAAAATCCTTTGCCTTTTATGGACCCATTTGACCTAAACCCAAAATTTTGGATTTTGAGTTTCACTCATTCAATTTGTGAATCAATAGTTCAAATACACCTAAATAAGTATAAATTGAGGTGTAGAAGAATTAGATTTCAAGAAAAAAAAAACTTTCGGTTTAGACTAGGAAACACTCGACTTAAGCCCTAGTTTTTTAAAATTGAGTTCTAATCATCCAACTTTATAAGTAATGGCCCGAGTGACATCTAAATAGGTATAAAATGAAGTGTGGGAAGGTAAGAGTGCAAGACAATCAAAATTAGTAAGAGTGCAAGACAATCAAAATTAAGACCTAGATCCTAAAAAAAAAAAATTAAGTTCGGCTTTTAAGGCTAAATTTCGGGTTAGAAGGAAACCCATCGCAAATATGCCCCAACACATTCCTAGGACTCAAATACCGTAATGGATTAAGCGAGTCCTGTTTTCTTTGTGTGACCCCGATGGTATGGAATCAACGAATTTAGTACCCATGTTTTAGTGAAATGTGATTAATGATACATCATGTGCATTATATGCATACGAGGAATAGATTAAATTGAGAAAAATAATTGAGTCGAAG